AAATAAATAACAATTATAATTATTAATTATTTTTAATAATTAAAACAAAATAAAATAAATATTTTGTTAACAGAATCTGTACGGTAATAACAATTTCACTTGGGGTAAAAACCATTTCACGTGGGGCAATAGCCAGCCCCCCCTCCCCCTGCCCGAGTAGTCAATTTGTGGAATGCATGTTTTCTCAAATCTGTAAATGTCGCATCAGAAAAGACCTAGTGTATGTGAAATCCCTTTTGACAGTGAACACGCGGTGGTCTCTGAGCCTGTGTTTACAGGAGGACCACCAGCAAAAGTGGAAGCTGTCCTGTCAGTTATTGAAGGATGCAATTGCAATAATAAAAATGGAGATGGGACCATACCGCTCAACCTATTAAAACTTGAAACGTATAATTTCTGTTCAAATTGATTTGATCTGTATACAATTGCCCTACTCTACTCCCCACCACAAACTGACTGCTCAGTAAATAGGTTTTTCCTTTTTCACCCAAAAAAAAAAAAAGTTTTATTTTTGCCCCTAATATTTATCTTCTGATCTTTAGGTTATGGCCACCTTAGGGTCTAATAAAAATGATAAAATTATATTTAATTTGATTATTAAAAATAATTAATTAATAGCTACAATGGTTAAGTGATGATACATAAAATATGTAATTTTTACTATTTAATAATTTCTAAGTAATTTTAAAAAAATATTTTTAAGTATTTAAAAAGTTTTAAATTGATAAAATGAAATAAATTTAATATATAAATCTATTTTATTGTATGTAATGAAAAGTAGTTTAAATTATTATTTTAAATTTTATTAAATTATAAAAAAATAAAATTATTAAATGAAATGAAAATACTTAAAGGGTTTATTTTTTATTTAAATATTTTAATTTATATAATTTAATGAAATTGATTATATTGCAATACTCTATTTTTTAAAAAAATTATCCCTCATCAAATGGAAAAGAATTAGAAAATTATTTATTAATCTTTACTAAATTAATAACTAATGAAAAA